GTTCCTTCCATCGTGTTTGCCTCTTCTTTTACGTGCAGGCAGGACCATCGGCTGCCTTGCCTTCAAACCTCCCTTAGCTCCGTCCTTCTACCGCCTCCAGCCTGCATGTAACTAACTTGTACTTTCTACCTACAGAATGCTGTATGCGGACCGACGGTTCCTGGCACCCTGCAACCCACTGCAGGCACAAACTTGAGCACTCTCAACCCGTGTCCCCTCAACGTCTGCTGTAATGTCTGGGGCCAGTGTGGTCTAACTGACGACTTTTGTGTCATCTCCAAGTCTGAAACTGGTGCGCCTGGAACCTCTGCTCCTGGCAAAAATGGATGTAAGTGCTCCCTTCATCAGGATCTTGAGGTCTCCAAAGCCTCATCTCGTACCTAGTATGGGTGGGCTCGCAGGCGAATAGAGGTATGCTTGGGATGGAATAGCAGCTAACTCTGAGGCTTCGAATAGGCATCAGTAATTGTGGCAGAGACATTATCAAAGGGCCAGCGCCAGCAGAGAAGATCAAGGTTGCGTATTTCGAATCCTGGAACCTCGGCCGCGACTGTCTGAACATGTGGGTCGACCAGATCGACACAAGTCAATACACGCACGTTCACTTCGCATTTGCCAATATCACACGAGGCGACTACAAGCCTGAAATTACCGAGCCATGGACTCTAAGGCAGTTTCAGTACTTCAAGCAAATGACGGGCGTCAAGAAGATCATTTCCTTTGGCGGGTGGGACTTTAGCACCGCCCCAGAATCCTATTCCATTCTTCGGGAAGCTGTGTTACCTGCCAACCGCGAAAAGTTCAAGAACAATCTTATTGCCTTCATGAACGAGCACAACCTGGATGGAATTGACCTCGATTGGGAATATCCAGGGGTAAGTGTCACGCGATCTGCATTTTCAAGCCAAACCAAAATGGGGAGCACGAAACTAACGTTGAACAACCAACTACCAATCTAGGCTCCTGATATTCCGGACATACCTAGCGATGACCCCGTGAATGGTCTGAACTACTACCGCCTTCTGTCCGGTCTGAAGTCGGCTGTTGGACCTTCCAAGTCGGTTTCGTTTGCCGCACCGGCGTCCTACTGGTATCTTAGGGCGTTCCCGATCAAAA